ATCCCGTTATGCGACAGCCGGATATGCAGCCGAGATTTTATTGTGAAAGTAAGATGCAAGAGAGGAAGGGAAGAGAGAGAGAAGGGAGGGGAGGAGGAAAATATATAAAAAATGTATATATGTAAAGGAAGTGAGATAAAGAGAGGTTATGAGTGCGTGCGAGAAAGCAAGAGAGAGAGAAAAAAAGAAGAAGAGAAAGCGAAAGAGAAAGAGAGAGAGAGAGAGAAAGAGAAAGAGAAAGAGAAAGAGAGAGAAAGAGAGAGAGAGAGAGAGAGAGAGAGAGAGAGAGAGAGAGAGAGAGAGAGAGAGAGAAGAGAAAGAGAGAAAATCTAAGGCACACGGGAGGTCCAGCAGGGTGTTTGGGTCCAAGAGAAACCTCGGTCGCAGCAGGATGTAGGTCACGAGGTCGCCACTGACACACTTCCCCTCACCCCCACCCCCCTCGTGCCCCCCCCCCCCCCCACCCCCTCCTCCTTGATCCCTGGTCCCTGTCGGTCAAGTCCTTCAATTCTCTACTCCCTCTGCCTCCTCCTTGGCACTCTTTTTATTTTGTTCTTCCTCTTTCTTTCTTTTTGTCTTTCTCTTTCGCTATGTTATTCTTTCGCTCTGTCTCTGTCTCCGTTCTCGAGTTTAGATGGATCTTTATGTTAGTCTGTTTATCTTTCTTTTCTTTGTTCATCTTCTCTCAAGTGTCATTTATTTATTTTGCAATTATTCTCTCCATTTACAGTTTCTACTAATTTCCAGCACCTGAAAAAAGTACAAACGAGTTTACTCACTCGTCGAATAATCTTGATAAAAAATAGATCCATAAAAAAATCCTTAAGAGTGCGACCGCTAGCAAGAGTAGCCGATACAAATAGCCAATCTCCAGATGAATGAGTGCAGTAGACACCCCGGAGTCTCATCAGGCAAGACAAGACAGTTATTGTGTCATGATCGAGGGCAGGGCAGCACGACCCTTCATCCTGCCCCCTTTCCCCCCTCCCCTCCCCTCCTCTTCCCTCCACCTCCTGCCCTTCCCCCTCCCTAGCCCTTCCAACCACTCCCTCCTCCCCGTCACCTCCACCTATAACGGTTGTACCCACCACAGCTGTTCCATTACGTTTAATTATCCGCGCTCCTCCACAGCATTCACGCCATACACTGGTTCCGCTGCTTCGGTCTACGCGCTTAACCCTTACCTTACCTTCTTACCTTGATTGCCTGTGTTTTTCCTCGATTCCTTTTTTTTTCCAGAGGTATTGTTATGGTGTTTTTTTTTATATATATTACGGTTATGTTTTTTTTTATTATTGTTATTATCATTATCATTATCCGTGTGTCTATTTTTGGATGTGTGTGCATCCGGGTGTATTTACTGGTCTTATCTTTTTTTTTTATTATTTCGTATTTTTTTTTAGCATCTTCCTCTTTTGGAGAAGAAAGTATCCAGCTATTGTGAGAAATGTGTCAATACTTTTTCCCGAGCCTCGTGGCCTAGTCTGATTCCAGGTCAGGCCGTCGCGGATCCCCGAGAAGGCATCGAGTTTCCATTGAGTCCAGAGAGGGAAAAGCGAGAGACAGAGAGTATCCGTGCAGTGCCTTTTCTTCCTCCAGGAAACCTATTTCCGGGTTAATTGTACCGGAGCTCCCTGGGCGCGGCGCCGTACCAGCGTCATGCAGCGTCAGGCAGGGATCGCTCGAGCCGCGCAAAAGGGGGCGCAGAGAAAGGTGCTTGTGTCTAATTAGGGGAAACCCGCAGGCGCTTTGTTCTACTTCCCAGCGGCGGCGGCGACGGCAGTGGTGTTGTTAGTGACGGTGGTGTCAGCTGACATCGCTCACGTCCCTCGTGGGTAACGGTGAGGCTCATTTCCCCCTCCCCCCCCACCCCCTCCCTACCTCCTCTTTCGTCGCGACGTCATGGTGAGTCGGAGGAAGGGGTAGGGAGAGCGTGGGGAAGAGGGGGGGAGGGAGGGAAGAGCAGGAGGAGGAAGAAAGGTGTGCTAAATTATTCCTGAGGATAATGTGAAATGCAGCTCAGCGTGGCAAGTTTTCTTTTCCTTGGTTCTGCAGGTGAAATGGAGCAGTTCGGTTGGCTGGTATGTGGGTCAGAGACGTGGCTGTGTGGGCCGTCTCGCTGACTTTCTCGCAACTTTCTTCAGTCGGTATGTGAGAGCAGCGGCGTCCCACATGCAACTCCTGCTCTGCCTGCCTCCATTTCCTCGTGTGCATGACAGAGAAACGAGAAGAGAGTGTAGTGACCGGTACTCGAAGTCGGAGGGAGGGAGAAGGAGGAGGTGGAGGAAGAGGAGTGAGTCGCTAGGCACGGGAGACGGCTGTAAGGAGGAGGAGACGGAGGAGGACGGAGGCGAGAGGGAGGGGGGGTGGAGGGGCGGGAGGGGGCGGGGAGGGAGGGGTTGGAAGTGGGTCGCCACTGGTTTGTTCTCAACCTCGCGTCACCGCCGTGAGCAGTCAGTCAGTCGCGTGGCGCGGTGGTGGAAGGTTGTCTCGGAACTGCTTGCTGAGTCCGAGGTCACCCTATGCTGACTCAGCCACGCGGTCTTTTCGTCTTACATAGTGTATTGAGACTTGGTGCTGTCTTCTGCCCTGTGTTGGAACCCTTGAGAGTTAGCTTTACCCGATTGCCGCTCCTCTGCTGCGGTGTGTGGATCAGTGACCGGCGGAGACACTTTGTGCTTTTATCTAGTTACAAAAGAGAAAGACGAGGCGACCAGTGAGTGCGCGCGATACACCTGAAAGACACCGTCGACGTGAGTATTGGCGACTTCAATGCCGCGAGAGGTAGTGATCGAGTACTGCCTTTGGTTACAACTTTGAATTTTTCTTTCTGTTTAAACTTTGTCTTGTATGTTAAGCTAATCATGCATTAACCAGGAACACATTTCCCACTGACTGAAGCGTGAAGCCCTTTGTGGAGGAATCACAAGCAGCGGGATTCGAAACCAGCTACAGGAGTGGAGCCATTTCGCCTCCAGGTGTTTCCAACGTGGGAATCAATGGCTTGGTTGTCACTTCTGCGAACTTTACTTTCGAAATGAATTTTTGAAGAAAGAAAGAAAAAAAAAACTTGTACGTTGGAAACATTCACTTCTGATAAGCCTTGAGTCGTTTTAATTTAAACAATTTGGGAACTGCCAACTTAGTATGATTTTTTTTTTCCTTGCGAAGAGAAAAAAGTTGCGTATCCAGTGTTTACAATTTGCACGCGAATCAACCTGTATCCTCCCGTGTGAGTTGATATTTACTGACATAATCTTTTATCCAGAATAAGCAACAGGATCTGTTCAGTTTACAAAAAAAAGAAAGAAAGAAAAAAGAATTAGTATTAACGTGTGAATAAAACATGTGGCCGCCAACCCGTTTCGAAATGAGTTTGAGTTTTTTTTCGCGGAGATTCTCCATTCGTGGTGTTCGCATCTGTGAGTGAAACCGTCTAATTTATCAGCCGTTCGTTAGCCAAATAAGAAGAGCTACATCCGTGTTTTTGAGTTGCTTTTAGCGGCCACTCCCCTAATGCTTCGCTTGCGCTCACTGCGTCTTAGCAATATTTGTAGCGAATATTTACCATCACCTGAGGCTTTCAACGTCGCTGACGGCTCTACCTCTGCCTGTCCATCCTTTTTCCTTCGCCTTTTCCCAAAACTCTCGGTTATATAACACAATGCAATCATCCGCCCAGGGAACTTACAACGTATGCGCTATTCGCATTCAGTTGTTCACGTGGATGTGAACAGCATTTTACGCGCGTCTGTGTCTGTTAGATAAAGAGAGGCGGGAGGGAGGGGTGGAAGGGAAGGGGGCAGGGGGGGTAAGAGACATGCGGATCTTGGGCGAGGTTGAACGAATTCTTTTGGTTTAACCTTTTCGTCTGGATGCGGAATACTAAAACACGTCTCCCCGGGCTTGTGTGCAGCTCACATTTTTTTTTATGAAGATTAGCAAGGCTTCATTTACGTCGTATCTCGTATACACGAATGGATTTACTTGCGCCTCGAATCACGTTCATTTTAGAGGAGCACCTGTTTCCGATCTTTCTTCAATGCAATATATCTTGCTAATAGATATGGGAATGCCTTCTCTTAGAATTACGTCCCTTTTTATGCACAAGACGTACACCTGCATCCATTTTCGCGCCATAATCCTTCCTCTCATTATACAGCGAGAGGCCCCATGCTTTTGTCCTGTCTCTCCGCAGTAGACGAGTGATTTTACAAGTGCATTTTTCCACAGGTGCTTCGACAGCCAGCGTGTCTGCGTGCCTGGAGGGGGATCCATTTAAGCGAGGTTCCTTGTTCTCCACCCAGAGAGCGCCTCGCCAAACAGACAATGACCAGTGCAGTATGCATCGGGTTCCTTATCGTCTACGGCATCGTCCTCGTTTCACAGAAGGTATTGTGTAATGGGTAGGTGTGGATAGGTAAGTTTGATCGATGTGTGCTCGTCTGTTCGCGCGACTGGAAGATTGTTCCGATAAATCGAATTAAAATCGAGGTTTAGATCACTTGGTCACGAAGGAGCCACGTCACGGTTTTGAGATTTCGTTTTCGTGCAGCTTGAGCAATCAGTTCAGGTCAGTTTCCTTCCAGCAGGCACTTGGTAGAGAGGTGTGTGTGTGTGTGTGTGTGTGTGTGTGTGTGTGTGTGTGTGTGTGTGTGTGTGTGTGTGTGTGTGTGTGTGTGTGTGTGTGTGTGTGAGAGAGAGAGAGAGATGTAAAAACGTAGAGCATAGCAGTACAACACAGAGGACAAATTAGGATGAATCGACACTCTCCACGGCCATCTTCCAGCAAGCGCGGAGGCCATATTAGGTGGAAAGACAAAAGTGAAAATAAGTCATCGCTTGAGCGTCTAAAAGTCAAGGTCACTTACATAGGAAAATGTCAGGGTTTGAATATCATTCTGATTTTTAAAATTCTCACATTTTTTAAATATTTAATATAATTTTATGGGCGATTCCTCGAGAGTCCGGCACAGAGGTGAGACGCCCGACTGAGAGAGAGAGAGAGAGAGAGAGAGAGAGAGAGAGAGAGAGAGAGAGAGAGAGAGAGAGAGAGAGAGAGAGAGAGAGAGAGAGAGAGAAAATGTAATGGAGGCGAAGAGAAAGTGGCGAAGAGAGAGAGGATTGAGAGAAAGAGAAAGAAAGAGCAGAAGAGAGTGAGTGCAGTGAGTATATAGGGAGCTAGTTCAGTACCACACACGCCAGTCCTGCCATAGATCTCTGGCGGACCGATTCGCTACTTTGCATCTCCGCTAAAAAGTAGACTCGGGACAAGGCTTCAAGTTTTTGTGAGTCCTTCAAGGAGGGAGGCTTACCAGGGGTCACTGTCAGAGCCTCCCGAGACGCTAAACTTTCTCATTTAGTCTCATAAGATACGTAGGTTGAAACTAGACAGCAACTGGCTCCTCATTATTATCATTTCTATTGTTATTATTGTTTTTTATGTTATTGTTTATCAAGATCATTGTCACTATTCATTATTCATAGTTGAGATTACTGTTCATTATTCATAATTATTATTACTGTTCATTATTCATAATTATCATTACTATCCATTATTCATAATTATTGATACTTTTTCCTTCCATATCCTCTTGCCACGGCGAGACTTGCTTGTCATATCTCTGTTACACACTATTTAACCTTGTGTAGTATTGCAGCGGTGTGTAGGTGTTGCTGGCCAGGGTGTGGGTCTTAGTAGAAACAGTGGGAGCATGCGGTGGAGGGCCCTACTGGCCTGCTAAGTCCCAAGCCTCGGCCAGTCGCCACAGCCACCACACCCTTCCTGATGCAGGCGATATTGTGCGGGTGGACGTCTGAGCTCCACCCCTCTCTCCGTCCCTCCCTCCCTCTGTGTCTGTCTGTCTGTCTGTCTGTCTCACTTCACTTCTCGCATCTTTGGTATCTCGTCTTGTGTGAAAGTTTCTGGTTCTCGGTCGAACGGAAACGAATGCTTTTCGTACTCCCTTCACTTTACCTGTCACTGAGCATGTTCCTTCTACAACGCACACACTAACTAGTATCTTTTTTTTCTCTCCCTTGCTGCACTTGCTTCTGCCCGAGGCGGCTTCTTTTACGGCATCAGACTTAAGTACACTTAACCATCGCGTTTAAAATTCCTTCTCTGTACTACTGTGTTGTACCCGTGTGCTGTGGTTATCTGCAAACAACAATTCTTGATTTCTGATTTCTGATTCTTCAAGACAGTTCTTTTTTCTTCCACATTATTCAGACTTTCTTGGGAGTTTGAGTTTCCTTTAGTGTGTTTCCTTCTTCTTAGACTGTCAAGAGTAGAAAAAAATGACACTTTTGGGCAGGAAATCTTGTGCAATCTTTCCGAAACCATTTCCTTTCTTTCCAAGAGAGAGAGAAAAAAAACCTTTCTTGGTACGTGTGACAACACCGTTACAAAAAGAAAAAAAACCTGAAGATGCTTTGAAACTGACTTTTCTAGCTGAACGATATAGCGGTTTCACGAGTACACACACACACACACACACACACACACACACACACACACACACACACACACACACACACACACACACACACACACACACACACACACACGCACGCACACACGCACACACGCACACACACACACACACACGCACACACACACACACACACACACACACACACACACACACACACACACACACACACACACACACACACACACACACACACACACAGACCGTCGCGACAATGAACTTCTGACATTAGGCAAGATACTGCCAGTCCGTGACCTCTTACTGTGGTCGGTCTGCTTCCGGTACTTAAGAACGCTGGTCCGTCTCGGTTCCGTTGACCTGGAAATTTCAATACTGGATTCTCAGTGTTAATGGATTCGTCGTTATGCAAATCGACTTCAGTCTAGGATATTTTATTTATCGTGGATAGCATTCAGTAAGGGGGGAAAGTTTAATGCCATATACAATGATTAGATTTAATTCTTTTTAAAGTGATTAGATCAAATTCGTTTTACAATGATTAGATTAAATTAATTTTGTTGCATCATTAAAGTCCCCATCTCAGTCTTTGTCAAACGTGCCCCGCATTGTCTCCACAAAGTCAACCTTTTAGTGACATTCCCGTGACTCAGTTTTCGTCCATTCTCGACATCCCCCCCTCCCCTCCCGTACCCCGTCACGTGACTTCACCAATCACCAAAAGGAACCACGTACCCCCCACCCCCCACTCCCCTACACACACCTCCATCACCAACCAACCAAATCCTCGTGACCTCTGAACCATCATCATCACGTGACCTGTGAACCAACCACCTCCACCACCAACGTGACTACTGAACCGCTACTACTACTACTACTTATCGCTGTTGCAAACTTGGGGTTTCTAAGCGGCATCCCTTGCAACATTTCTGAGTGCAATGCCCTTGGAAATCCCAAATATGCTCGGCCTGGCGACAAGGACCTTGCGAAATCACTCTGACTAAATATTGACAACCACGACCCACTTGATGACGACGACGACGAAGAC